TACCTACTCAATACTTTCAAAAATTTTGATGAGAAATTGATAATTTGAAGTGATAGGAACATTTTGTGTTTTCATTAAAAATCACAGGATGACACTAGAGGAAATTCAAACTACTCAGTTTCAGTTGCATTTTCCAGAGTAGGAATCCTTTATGAGAGAAACTACTGCAAAATTCACATAATCCTTTTAAATCCAAACAAGGTAATTTACAAACTAGACACTTTTGATTTCATTCAGTGGTATGTTATCTTTTTTTTTTAATGTTCTGGCCAGTTTCCTACTTGGTTTTCAAATCCTAGGTTGGTTGGTTGGTTTTTTGATTGACTGTTTATTTTAACTCATTAAATCTCCACAAGATCTTGTGGTTAACTGAGTATATGGAGAAAATCCATATACTCAGTTAAAATAATTTTTTAAAGAAACACTGAATCTAGAAATACTGAGGACTAGATATTTGCTAGCCCAGTTACACATAAGCACTCATTTTCCACCCAGATTCAAGAACAAAGAAAAATGTATGCTTAATAATATACCAAGTATTTAAGTGTTAACAATTCAAGAGAAAACCAGCCACCTCAGGGATTACTCAAAAAGCATGTTGAAAATCCTCACCGGAACCCTACAGTACCTATAGTATCAGCTTTGAACCACAGTTCCTGGACAGATCCAGATTAACGCTACTGGTCTCTCCAAAAGGTATCTCTATATCCTCTGACATCCATTCAGTGGGTGTCACCCTATTTGTCACCACATTTTTGGTAGAGAAAATAGCCTCTTTCAAGACAGCACTATTGAAATAATTTTAACAACTAAATATTCATCTCTATTTCCATATAATGTTGCTATTTTATGAGCAATCATCATCCTTATCTTGAAAAAGTAAAGATAGGGACATCTCTTATTAAGACAATAAAGAGCAGAACAAAGAGATGGCTATATTGACATTCTTCATGATTCCACCACTAGGTGCACTAAACGTGGTGATTTTCTTCCCCAATCAAAGTTCTAAGGGACATACAAACACTACTCATTCTTCAGGTCTTAATTTACCTTTGCAATGTTCAGAGTACTTTCAGAACATTCAGTGACCACTTACAGTATTTCTCTAATGAAGAGTTCTCTGATTTCAAATATAAGGTAAGAAGGAACCTCATGAAGTACAAATAAAAATATTTTTATTATGTTATGACAGTTCCTGGAATATGTAGTAGTAGAAATCAAGAAATTCTCAGTTATTCTTAGTTGCTACAGTATCCTTATATTCCTTAATATCCTTATATATATCGATATATATCCTTAATATCCATATATATATGAAGTAAGAATTTTGATGGTATGAATTTTCAAAGGATATTTCACATCACACACTAAAATATAAATCTTGTTGTGAAAAAATGTATTAGGATATAGAATACTTCAAAAACATCACCAGAACTTAGCACTTAGCATATTATACTTCTATGACTATTAAAAAATACAGTAAAACCAAAGAATACATGGAAAGGATTTTGAAAAAAATTCAGATGATCATGCTTAAATCTATTAAACTCTATGTGGAAATAAACAGAAAAAAATT